AGTACCAAAAGATTTCACTCATATGTGGAGTATAAGAACAAAGGAAAACTGAAGGAACAAAACAGCAGCAGAATCACAGAACCCACGAATGGACTAATAGTTACCAAAGGGAAAGGGACTGGGGAGGATGGGTGGGAAAGGAGAGACAAGGGTGGGGAAAAAGAAAAAGACAAGGGTGGGGCATTATGAGTAGCATGTATAGTGTGTGGGGGGCACAGGGAGGGCTGTGCAACACAGAGCAGACAAGTAGTGATTTTACAGCATCTTACTATGCTGATGGACAGTGACTGTGAAAGGGTATGACTTGGTGAAGGGGGGAGCCTAGTAAACATAATGTTCTCCATGTAGATTAATGATACCAAAATAAAAAAATTAAAAAAAAAATGGTCCTACATCACATACAGTTTCCCCAATTCACACTAGCTACTTCAGGCCTTCCCTCATTTTCCAACACATCAACTCTATTTTGTGGTGTACTTTCACACAGTACTCATTCTCTGTGCACCCAATCACTCAGGCTGCAAACTGGAGGTTTACATGACACAGGAGCCAATGACCAGGAGCTGGGGCAGCACCATGAGCCTGTATTCAGTCAGCTTGTCTCAAGGTTTGTAAGCAACTGTAAAAAAACTCCCTGACTGGATTATCAAATTTTTTTCCCAAAGCCTAAAACAACTGATTTCTACAAGTACAAAACTGTATAAAATCAGATACATGTGTATGTATGTATATCCATTTCACTTTCTATAAATTGTGAGCAGTCAGTTCATTCAACTTCCATTTATTAAGCATATACTGTTTAGTTATCAGGGACATAGCAATAAACAAAAATTGCTGTCCTTACAAGAACAGCAGATAGAAAGTAAGTAATAGTTGGATAATAAATTATGGAATGAAATAAAGCAGAAAAAGGGGATAAAAAGAATGCTGTGTGTGTATGTAAAAAGGGCTGCATTCTTAAACACAGTGGCCAGGGAAGGCCCATTCAGATGATATTCAGAAAAAAACCTAAAGGAGATAAAATTTACGAAACTATCCAGGGAAAAAGAATATTCTAGGCAAAGGAACAGCAAGTAGATCAAGAACACAAATTTGATGTTTTCAGGGAAGTCAACGTGACTGGACTGACAGTGAGAGGGTGAAGAGTAGGAGATGAGATCACAAAAAGAGTGCTTGGAGTTAAGAGTACTGTGAGTCACTTTAAGGACCCAGACTTTTACTTAGTGAAATGGGAAGTGACAGAAACACCAAAGAGGGCTTTGAGTGGAGAAGACATGAGCTAGTTTCATTTTTACAAGATCACACTGTTGCTATGATGGTTAACATGTTGTAAGGAGGCAAGGGTGAAAACAGAGATCGCTACAAACCCCTGGGGAGAAGGGGCTTCTGGGTTCTGGATAGGTGTACTGAATAAGGTTTGCTGACAAATATTCTGTCCTATTTGGGATATAAGAAAAAAGATTATTTCAAGAGGTCTGACTAGAAAATAAGGAGTAGCCATTCTCTAAAATGAGAAAGGCTGCAAGAAAAGTAGGCTTGGGGGAAGAACAAAAACACAGTTTTATAACTAAGTTCTAGGTGCTTATCAGATATCCAATTTCATACAATAAAAGTATGAAATTTAGGAAAGAAAGTCTAAGCAGGAAATAAAAATCTGGAAGCCACCAGCAAATGAAAAACATGTAAAACCATAGAATGGATGAAATAACTGAGGCAATGAATAAAAATGAAAACAGGTCCAAGGATAGAGGCTTTGGAAGCAACCAACATTTAGCAGTTGGGGAAATACGGGAAAAAGAGGGAAGAGGAGTGGACGGTGAAGAAGGAGAAAACCCAGGAGCATATAGGCTCCCAAAGCCGAAGTCTTTTCAAGTAGGAGAGAATGCACACAATCAAATCATTACATGTTTTGGAAATGCAGTTAGGTTAAAGATCAAAGCCTACAGGGTCATGAGCATGTTCAAATTTAAAGATGTTAGGAGAGTTTAAGTGATATACACACATGATTATCACCAATATGTTCCTTGTTCTTCACATCAATATTTTAATAAACAGCAAACTATGGCCACATTCAGAATCAAATTACCATATAAATATTCATTAAATAAGCTATAAAGAACAAGGGGAACAGGCTGTTTCAATGGAGAAAGAATCCAAAGGGGATAAAACAAGCAAAGAACCAATCTGGAACACATAGGATCAAGTTTATTAATACTCCTATATGGGTTTCAGATACAAAAATGAGTTACTTAAAATTATTTTTTGTCTCAGCAAAGATTAACGTTTGCTAATATTTCCTACATAAAATTAAGAGGGAAAGGTAAAGATATATGTTTTTAAGAAAACACTCCAAAAAAAACCTATTTTTACCTCAAATTCATGGTGGTTCCAGGAGATCACATTAGCACTACCAAGCTCTCTATCAATATTAAATGCTCTCATTTCAGATTCAAGACTATCTCTCAGTTCTTCTCGTGTTTTGAAATTCCAAATTAGGTTTGACCTGGCATGGTCCTGACCAAACCTAGATATACATATGAAGAGCAAAAAGTAGGAGGCAATAAACATTTTTTAAAAACCTACATAACCACCCCTCACTACACCTTGTTGTAAGCAAGAAAACAATGGAATTCATAAGTTTTACTGAGTGTAAATAAGTTCTTTATAAATATAATAAAATGTCAATGACAGAATCTAAGTGGTAAGTATACAGGTATTAGCTGTTAAATTCTTAGACCTTTTCTGTATGTTTGAAAGTTTTCATAATCAAATGCTGGGGAAAAAATGAAACCAAACCATAAAATAATTCTGTGTGAATTTCAAAACAAGGAATGATATCATAATTTTAATATTTATTGCTAATATAATTTCCAGTCAGAAAATTATAATCAGGTATCAAATTTCAGGATAGAGATAAGAATTTCTGGATTACTGGGTTGTATAAAGTATGTGGGATAAGCAACATTCTAGATTAGAATGTTCCAAACCCCCCAAGGAAGAACTGCCAAGCTCTGATTGATATTTTCAAAATATTTTCCTTTTATTCCTGGAATAATTTAACTATTGTAATAAATTTGGACACAAACTTCAATTGCAGGGGAAAGGATGGACAACAAATCTATCACTTCCAGTCTGCAATTCTTCTAGAAATTCTGGTATCATAGTTTCAAGGGAGTTCTAAGAGAGACAACATAATTAAAGGATTCCTGAGAAAGAAAACCAAGGGATATTCTTAAGGTCATACATATTATATACATATTTTACACATACTATATGCTTTAAAAGTCCTATGGGAAGTTTTGAAGCACATATTCTCATTTATTAGCCAAGGCATAATCAGTATGTCCAAACTGAGTACTGTGAGTTATCCCAAAAAGTTTCCACAAACTTCCCAAAATGTTTGTTTCAAATTCTTTATATTTGTATATATCTGGGGGCTTGAGGGGTTGGGGGTGGTTAATAGATGGGGAGGAGTAATCATATTAGAAAGGCAAGAAAAGTATATGAGGTTGGCTAACCTGGACACCCATTTCCCATGAGTCTCCTTATGTTTTTATCATCCATTTCTTTTGAGACTCCATTTCCAACAAGGCTTAAAGAAGTTATAATGAAGTTATCTCTAAGGCTTAATACAATGTTTTAAAGTTATCATCTCAAAGCCTTAATAAAGTTTTAAAAGTAACTGTAGCTCCTCAGACTACCAACACTATAAAAGGCCTTAATTTTACAAAAGCATCACTAATCATTCCCATCTTAACGGCTATTGTTCTTGACCTTGACAGCACAAAAACTCCTGTAGCATAAGAAATACTTGTCACAATTCCTCTAATAGTAATACCAAATTTAATTTATGTTGGAAAAGAGGCCTGAAGTTTACCTATAATAGAAGAGATCCCAATTTGCTTCTATTTTTATTCTTTGTCTTCTCTTTCGAAGAACTACTGGCTTCTGATTTATATTCTGAAAAAGAAAAACTTTTTAGTGCTCAATCTGGGGCTAGTAAATAAGCTCAGTCATAAGATCACTTCGTAAGTGATGAGAAACATTTCCTACATCATATTTTGGCAGAAACAAAATTTGTAAGCTATCAATAAATACAGGATATAAGATTATACCACAATAAAATACTTTGCCAATATTTATTTCTATAGTGTTGTTGAAATATTTTCCAAGTAGCCTAAAGTTACTATTTCAACACCAAATTTTTTTAAGTTCATAGTGATGACTAATAAAATTTTAACAGTCAAAAACAGTCACTTGTTTTAAACGTTTACATGCAGTTAATATTAATACAAAAGTCATGGTAAAACAATAAATGCAAAAGATTATAGGTTATTAAACTGCTCCAAAGCTAAGAGGAACATGTATAAATTGAAATAGCTAATGGATAAGAAATAAGTATCTACATTTAGACACATGTGAAGTGAGATTTTAATTTATTAGACAAAGAATATCAAAGACAACAACTCCACATGCCAGGCAGTTTAATGCATTTCACACATGTAGCAGGGACTTAAACTCACCAAATTGTTTCTGTCCTGAATTTAATTATAGAAAGGAAAAAAATGAAAAATTTTTAAAGAAAATGAAAATAAGAGAGTGAGCCTATATCTGCTATTACACAAATTGCACAAGGATATCACCAATATATATCACCTTCAGTTTATGACAGAAAAAGGCCCATCTGCTTATCTAAATCTATGACTCAAATTTTAGGCAGTCACAAACCCATTTGAGAATTCAAAGAAAACTATGGCCCCTATTGCAGAGTATGACACATACAGAAGGTTTACAACTGGAGAGGAAGACTTCAAAAGATTTCTTGAAGTCTAAGCAGGGACTGAGGTTAAGAATCTGCTCCAGGTGAAACCTGTAGATATTTCAGACATGAAAATCTAACCCTCAATGTGATGGAAGCCAAAAAGCAGAAAGTAGTAATACATTAAAACATGAATCTCTAATTAAAGTGGCACCTTATACAAAGTAGAGCAAAAAAACAGAGTAGATGACACAGAATTATAGGTAAAATGAGTTGCAAATTTTAAAAAATAAGTACTGTTTGAAATATAAAACCTATTGGTTATATAAGGAAATGTTTCCTACAAATTTTAATTCTGTGCATTATCATGAAAGCTAATGTAAGGTGAATATATAATTAATTTAAAACTTTATTTTTAATGACAAACCTTTCATTACAATCTGTAGTTAGGAAGTAAGTTCTTCAATTTCCCTTGCCCTCAGGACAAAAAGCTAGGAGTTCAGAATAATGTAAATGATATACAGAAAAAGGGCAAAACTCTCCGTATCTCCATAAACTGAGCTAACTTAAAGACCTAACCTAGAAAACCTAACTAGCCAGACAAATCTCTAAACTGAAAATAACATAAATAAGAAAAGCAATTTACATATTAGCCAAAAGTTATTATTAATCCAACATAGAACATTAGCTACAAATGGAATTGACTTCACAAACATTCTGATTATATAAGAAATGCAATTCATTTTAAGACTAATTAGTTATGACAACAGTTAGTTTTCAGACTTAAGCAAAAGCACAGGATCATTCCATATTTTGGTATTAATTTTTCTACAAATAACACAGTCACAAAGATCATTCATTCACTGTTTGCTGAAGAAATTAATGTTAAAAATAGTAACCCAGCAGAAATGATCAGTTTGCTACTAAAATCATTTCTTGACCAACATATCTCTTTGGTGTCATTATCAACTTAACATTTTAGATGATACTCATGTAAGTGAAACCAACAGACCAAAACAACATTACTGATATTAAAAATAGTCTTTTCCCTCTGAATTGCTATCTCTAACAGATATTACCTATACGTTTAGCTAAAAGCTTTGTGTTAAGCTTATGCTAGATAACTGTTATGTAAGAAATCTGATGCCAAAAATTTATTTTCAGTGTGATAATTATATCAAACAGCTTCAAATAAACTGTTTTTTAGAAGTGTGTTTAACCACTGGTAGCCAGGAGCTTATAATTTCTAATAGCTGCAAAAATCATTCATATCTGTAGATTTTCAACTATTCAAATGTTTTAAGCAATATTATGATAACCAGACATGTATATAGTGCTTTTATTATTACCATGCTTGTACATCAAAACAACCCTATAGGACAGAGGTGGTAGATACTGTTATTTTGATTTTATGAAAAAAAGGAAAGTAAGGGCAGAAGTAGAGAGAAGGAGGATCACAGACCTAAAGGCTGATGGATGCAGACATAATTCTAGTGCTCACTGGGAGAACAAATCCAGAGACCAGAGGACACAGGACAACATTCAGACCACATCCACACCTGCAAGAACCCAGCACCTCACGAAGGGGTGCTTTTTGGAAGTCTTAAAGGGACAGGGACCCCAAAACCGGACAGAAGCATCCTGGGACACTTAGTCCAGCAGCAGGGAATCGGGGGAACTCTGGGCACTCTAACCCCCTGGGCAGTAGGGAGCACGGAGGCCCCTCACGGAGATAAATAGCATCCCGGCCGCTCCCCCTCCAACGCGGCTCCACCATATTGGAGCAGCAGCCCGAGGCAAGTCGCGCACACAGCAACAGCGGAGATAAACTCCACAGCAGCCAGGCAGGAAGCAGAAGCCCTGTCTGCGTGCAGCTGCCCAGCAAAAGCCACTAGAGGTCGCTGTTCTCCCAGGAGAGGAAGGCCACAAACCAACAAGAAGGAAAGTTCTTCCAGCCGTCACTTGTGCCAGCTCTGCTAACTATCTGTATCACCATGAAAAGGCAAAATTACAGGCAGACAAAGATCACAGAGAAGGAGACAGACCTAACCAGTCTTCCTGAAAAAGAACTCAAAATACAAATCATAAACATGCTGACGGAGATGCAGAGAAATATACAAGACCTCAGGGATGACGTCTGGAGGGAGATTACAGATGCCCGGAAAGAGATTACAGAAGTGAAACAAACTCTGGAAGGATTTATGAGCAGAATGGATAAGATGCAAGAGGCCATTGACGGAATTGAAACCAGAGAACAGGACCGCATAGAAGCTGACAGAGAGAGAGAGATAAAAGGATCTCCAGGAATGAAACAATATTAAGACAACTGTGTGACCAATCCAAAAGGAACAATATCCGTATTACAGGGGTACCAGAAGAAGAGAGAGAAAAAGGGATAGAAAGTATCTTTGAAGAAATAATTGCTGAAAACTTCCCCAAACTGGGGGAGGAAATAATCGAACAGACCACGGAAATACACAGAACTCCCAACAGAAAGGACTCAAGGAAGACAACACCAAGACACATAATAATTAAAATGGCAAAGATCAAGGACAAGGAAAGAGTTTTAAAGGCAGCTAAAGAGAAAAAGGTCACCTATAAAGGAA